TAAAAATATTTGAAATATAGTTAATAAAATTTTTTAAATTTATCGATAAATAAACTAAGAAGTGTTGATAGTGTATGTTGAGATGAAGATATTTATTATGTAACAGATTATTATTTTTCGAAATACAAATTAGACGAATAAAAATATTTGAAATATAGTTAAAAAAATTTTTTTAATTTATCGATAAATAAACTAAGAAGTGTTGATAGTGTATGTTGAGATGAAGATATTTATTATGTAACAGATTATGATTTTTTCAAAATTCAAATTCGACGAATAAAAATATTTGAAATATAGTTAATAAAATTTTTTAAATTTATCGATAAATAAACTAATTAAAATAAGAAATAAGAAGTGTTGATAGTGAATGTTGAGATGAAGAGATAAATTATGTAACAGATTATTATTTTTTCGAAATACAAATTAGACGAATAAAAATATTTGAAATATAGTTAATAAAATTTTTTAAATTTATCGATAAATAAACTAAGAAGTGTTGATAGTGTATGTTGAGATGAAGATATTTATTATGTAACAGATTATGATTTTTTCAAAATTCAAATTCGACGAATAAAAATATTTGAAATATAGTTAATAAAATTTTTTAAATTTATCGATAAATAAACTAATTAAAATAAGAAATAAGAAGTGTTGATAGTGAATGTTGAGATGAAGAGATAAATTATGTAACAGATTATTATTTTTTCGAAATACAAATTAGACGAATAAAAATATTTGAAATATAGCTAATAAAGTTTTTTAAATTTATCGATAAATAAACTAATTAAACTAAGAAATAAGAAGTGTTGATAGTGAATGTTGAGATGAAGAGATATATTATGTAACAGATTATTATTTTTTCGAAATACAAATTAGACGAATAAAAATATTTGAAATATAGCTAATAAAATTTTTTAAATTTATCGATAAATAAACTAATTAAACTAAGAAATAAGAAGTGTTGATAGTAAATGTTGAGATGAAGAGAGATATTATGTAACAAATTATTATTATTTCTAAATACAAATTAGACGAATAAAAATATTTGAAATATAGTTAATAAAATTTTTTAAATTTATCGATAAATAAACTGATTAAACTAAGAAATAAGAAGTGTGATAGTGAATGTTGAGATGAAGAGATTTATTATGTAACAGATTATTATTTTTCGAAATACAAATTAGACGAATAAAAATATTTGAAATATAGTTAATAAAATTTTTTAAATTTATCGATAAATAAACTAAGAAGTGTTGATAGTGTATGTTGAGATGAAGATATTTATTATGTAACAGATTATTATTTTTCGAAATACAAATTAGACGAATAAAAATATTTGAAATATAGTTAAAAAATTTTTTTAAATTTATCGATAAATAAACTAAGAAGTGTTGATAGTGTATGTTGAGATGAAGATATTTATTATGTAACAGATTATTATTTTTCGAAATACAAATTAGACGAATAAAAATATTTGAAATATAGTTAAAAAATTTTTTTAAATTTATCGATAAATAAACTAAGAAGTGTTGATAGTGAATGTTGATATGAAGAGCTTTATTATGTAAAAGAGTATTATTTTTTCAAAATACAAATTAGACGAATAAAAATATTTTAAATACAGTTAATAAAAATTTTTACATTTATCGATTAATAATCTAATTAAACTAAGAAATAAGAAGTGTGATAGTGAATGTTGAGATGAAGAGATTTATTATGTAACAGATTATTATTTTTCGAAATACAAATTAGACGAATAAAAATATTTGAAATATAGCTAATAAAATTTTTTAAATTTATCGATTAATAATCTAATTAAACTAAGAAATAAGAAGTGTTGATAGTGAATGTTGAGATGAAGAGATAAATTATGTAACAAATTATTATTTTTTCAAAATACAAATTATACGAATAAAAATATTTGAAATATAGTTAATAAAATTTTTTGAATTTATCGATAAATAAACTAATTAAACTAAGAAATAAGAAGTGTTGATAGTGAATGTTGAGATGAAGAGATAAATTATGTAACAAATTATTATTTTTTCAAAATACAAATTATACGAATAAAAATATTTGAAATATAGTTAATAAAATTTTTTGAATTTATCGATAAATAAACTAATTAAACTAAGAAATAAGAAGTGTTGATAGTGAATGTTGAGATGAAGAGATATATTATGTAACAGATTATTATTTTTTCGAAATACAATTTAGACGAATAAAAATATTTGAAATATAGCTAATAAAATTTTTTAAATTTATCGATAAATAAACTAATTAAACTAAGAAATAAGAAGTGTTGATAGTGAATGTTGAGATGAAGATATTTATTATGTAAGAGATTATTATTTTTTCAAAATACAAATTATACGAATAAAAATATTTGAAATATAGTTAATAAAATTTTTTGAATTTATCGATAAATAAACTAATTAAACTAAGAAATAAGAAGTGTTGATAGTGAATGTTGAGATGAAGATATTTATTAAGTAACAGATTATTATTTTTTCAAAATACAAATTAGACGAATAAAAATATTTTAAATACAGTTAATAAAAATTTTTACATTTATCGATAAATAAACTAATTAAAATTAGAAATAGAGAAGTGTTGATAGTGAATGTTGATATGAAGAGCTTTATTATGTAAAAGAGTATTATTTTTTCAAAATACAAATTAGACGAATAAAAATATTTTAAATACAGTTAATAAAAATTTTTACATTTATCGATAAATAAACTAATTAAACTAAGAAATAAGAAGTGTTGATAGTGAATGTTGATATGAAGAGCTTTATTATGTAAAAGAGTATTATTTTTTCAAAATACAAATTAGACGAATAAAAATATTTTAAATACAGTTAATAAAAATTTTTACATTTATCGATAAATAAACTAATTAAACTAAGAAATAAGAAGTGTTGATAGTGAATGTTGATATGAAGAGCTTTATTATGTAAAAGAGTATTATTTTTTCAAAATACAAATTAGACGAATAAAAATATTTGAAATATAGCTAATAAAGTTTTTTAAATTTATCGATAAATAAACTAATTAAACTAAGAAATAAAAAGTGTTGATAGTGAATGTTGAGATGAAGATATTTATTATGTAAGAGATTATTATTTCGAAATACAAATTCGACGAATAAAAATATTTAAAATACAGTAAGTAAAATTCTAAAATTTATCGATAAATAAACTAATTAAACTTAGCAAATTTATATTGTATTGGGGAAAATTATCCTTATAAGGATAAATAAAAAAATTTTCGACGTTTCTTTTTCAGATGGGGAATTTATATTGTATTGTGGAAGATTATCCTTATAAGGATAAATAAAAAAATTTTCGACGCTTCTTTTTCAGATGGGGAATTTATATTGTATTGTGGAAGATTATCCTTATAAGGATAAATAAAAAAATTTTCGACGCTTCTTTTTCAGATGGGGAATTTATATTGTATTGTGGAAGATTATCCTTATAAGGATAAATAAAAAATTTTTCGACGTTTCTTTTTCAGATGGGGAATTTATATTGTATTGGGGAAGATTATCCTTATAAGGATAAATAAAAAAATTTTCGACGTTTCTTTTTCAGATGGGGAATTTAGATTTTAGTACGCATAAACAAATATGTAGAAATTGATGAAACAGTAGTCTGTAAACCCAACACCACATGAGGAGTGAATTAGCTAAAGAACAGCAGTGGTTCTTTGGTCGGGTTGAGAGATGAAGCTAGTAAGGCATTTATCCTGTTTTTCAGCCCCTGCTGTCACGAATAAAAATAAATTAAAATATATTTAATTAAAAATTAGTCATAATTATAAAAATTTCCCATACATTCTTTATCCAAGATAACAATCTTAAAGTTATATATTTTCGTTGTGGCTATATTTAAATCTCCTTTCTCAACACTTATACTTCTCTACTATAACACTTTTCCGCTTAATCAGTTTTCCTTTGATCAATCCTAGCTTCTTCTCACATCCATTGTTCAATAAAAAAATGTTTTCCATCCAATTTGTTCGCTCGCTTTTTAAGCACTTTTAAATTTAGTTAAAAGAAAATAAATTATTTATTTGTGGAAATTTAAATTAATTAAGTGTTTTACTAATTAGCGTTTGTGAGCAGAAACGCTAATATTATTTCGAAATACAAATTAGACGAATAAAATTATTTGAAATACAGTTAATAAAATTTTTTAAGTTTATCGATTAATAAACTAATTAAACATAAGACTCTGGGTCCGGCCCTCCCTGACACCGTCACAGATACAAGCTGAAAAGAATCGAAGATGGCAAATAATTTGTAACATATTGGCAAACAGTTGAAAGAATAATAAACTAGGTATTTTGAATTTATTTTTTTTAATTTTCCGAATATATCGTTGACCCGAATGAGAGTAAAAATAAAAATTACTTTCATTCGAACCTTTTTTATCAATTTCATTCCTTTAGAGGCAAACGAAATGTTTAGTACTGTGGTTATATTTTAAGTTTAAGATACGACCTAAAGGTTATGAAAAGAAATAGTACACGCGTGATTGCAGGATTTTCTCCTAATTCTAATTCCATCAATGACAACGAAACTTTATTCGATCAAATCAATAAATTCACAAACACAGCAAATTTATATTACCTATATGTGAATTAAAAAAAATTTTCAAAACAATTTTTAAATTTTTTACCTTCACAACCCTTTTTAATCAATAAGACCTCTTTTACATTGAAATCAAACATTTTTGTTCTACTACGGAGGATGTCGGCATTTATGGATGAAAATCGTGTTGAAGAACAAACACTTAAACCAAAATAAGGGCAAAAATTTTCATTTATAAAGTATATAAATTAACTATTCTGGGGCAGAGAATTATAAGGAGATTAAGCTGAGACACAAATTTCAATGAGGCAATGTTTTTGAATAATATTATTTATGTATATTATATGAAAATTAATAAATTTATGTATTAATAAAATTTAAATAAAATTTAAAAATATATTTTATGTAGGTATAGCTTCCAAAGTTATAGTTTCACGTATTGCCGCAGCTTTTTCCGCTGATTGCCTATCTTCTTCATTCTTTCCTTCATCATCCTCCTCTTGTAAGTTCAACCCTTTTGCATGAATACAAACATAAATATCGGCAAGTAATGATAATCCCCTAATAAACACATAAAGAAAATGCATTCGCATACGTAGAGCCCAAGGATCGTAGATCTATTTTGAAAAATTAATAAGATATTTAATTATAAAATTAAATTTTGATTTTTAATTATGTAGGTTATAGGGCATAGGTAATAGGGCAATATAGAATTAGAAATTGGACCTGGGCCCTGATCATGGTATTCGAGGTGTTAGGGTCAACAAGGTTGGTCAAATAAGTGCCAAACACCTTTGATCGGCCATAATTTTTTATTCTGATCCCATAAGGATGAATCTCCAGTAATTAAACTCATAGGATAAATGATAGTTTAGGGAGAGACTTTTTCCAAAAATGATACTTCAAATGATATAAGATTTACTTAAAGGATCAGGGCAGAGTCATTGTCAATCTAAGTTGGCTGGTTCTCAGTTGCCACGTTCCGTTTCTAAGGGATTTGACTACTGATACCGACTTTATGAAGTAGGTAACTCAGGGTTTTCTGGGTTATAAATTTACACTCTTCTTCTCTTACATTGCAAGCTCCCCTTTTTTGACATTCATAATCCCATACACGACAAGCACTGTCAATCACTAAGCCCCAAAGCACAGGAGATGGAAGTGTGCCTATTCCAGACACCAAAAGACCTTGCAATCCCAATGCTGGACTTCGAGTTTCGGGAGGGACGGAGCGTAAGAGTAACAACATTCCAGGCACAACGCCTGTACCGGCAATGAAGGCACCGAGAACTATTGTGACGAAAAAGGCGTATCTTGGAAAAAATTTTATTTAAAAAATTTTTTAAAGTTTGTCTATCCACCTCATAAATCTACAATTGTCTGGGCAAAGTTTTTTGCTTACAATACCACCGTCAGCGCATTCACATTCTGAAAATTCCAGCTTGTTCTCTTCTCCGTCCAATATCTGATAAGAATATTTAGTTGTTTTGATTTTTTTGGTTTTTATTCTGTTTTGTTAGGGTGGCGAGTTTAGTATAAAAGGCTAAGCCTTTTAGTAGTCGGTGAGTTCGTTAGTTAGTCTATAGTTAGTCTAGTCTTAGTGTTATTCTAGTCGCAGCCAACGCATAGTCTCGCTCATTTCTATTGTATTGTTGCTTGTGATAAACCTTGTTAGTTAGTTAGTCTTCTTTAAGTATCGGACACACCGCAAGTGGATACATAACAGGTTTATGTTCTGATTTTTCTTTTGGTTTTTATTGCTGTTTTATGAGCTGATCATCATTCTGCTCCTATTCTGATTTTCATTCGGATTTTAATTCTGATTTTAATTCACAATATATTCTGGTTCTATTCTGATTTTTATTATGATTTTTATTCTGGTTTTATTCTGATTCCTATTTTAGTTTTTGTTCTTATTTTCTCTTAATTCTTATTTTTACTCTGATATTCACTATTTATATTCTTCCAACCTCAATATGCCTGCACCCAGCATGACATGGAGAGTAATAGACGTTACCAGCTCTATCACAGACTGGATAAAGTTTTGCTGAGTTACATCCACATTCTGTGTTACATTCCCGTGTTAGGTTTAATTCTATATGGTGGTTATTTGAATTACTGGGGACGTCACGGCCAATACTTTAAAAAATAATTTTATCATTTGCCCTGAGGGAAAATTAGAGGGGAGGGGAATTTTCGAAATATATGCCCTGGGGGCAATTTTCGAAATATATGCCCTGAGGGCAAATTGTATTATTTTTCTGCCCTGAGGACAATTTATATAAATTTTCAAAGCTAATTTCCTTAATGGAAATTAAAATATTCATCTACCTATTAACAGTAGAATAACACCCAAGTAGCGGCTTTAACCCAAACAATGCAGTATTTATTACAGAAATAATTAAAACATAAATGGCTGCTTTTCTCCCATTCAGCCTCAGCTTTTTCATTATAAAACCTCCACTAGCTGCTCCAAAAGCAAATCCTAATACCCCAAAAAATGCCATATAAATGTGCACTTGATATTGAGGAATGCCATAATGATTCTCCAAAAATTTGGGTAAAAAGACCATATAACCCTTAAATTTATTTTTAGAGATACCCAAATTCTATAGTGGAGTAGTATTTGTCTTCAACTCGTCTAACCTAACTCTTCATTCTTAACATCGACCCCAAACTTTTCTAACCCTAAAAGTCGGATTCCAACCCGATAAATAAGGTTGCCCTAGATTTTCTCACACTTTTTTTGAATGTTATTTTCTGTCACAAAAGCAAAGCGACATTTTCGTAGAAGATCCAATTTGGGTACCCTCAGACAGTGTTTTAATGTTCCTATAACTAGGGATATTATATGGTTGATTGATCTCACTTTATCCATACTTGTGCGTATTCGATTAGTCCATCGTATATGCTTAATTAATTAGTCTGGATAATTATTGTTTCAATCCCTCTCCCAAGAGAGAGTGGTTAATCGAGTGTGGCAATCAGTTTAGAGTGTAATTATTCGACCATACTTCCCAATATCTATTCCCAATCAGGGGTGGGCGACAATCTAAAAAAAGCAGGACGCAAAACGCAACGCAAGGCCAAAATTTAACGCAATGCGCCCACCCCGTTCCCAATCTTAAATAGGCCGGGCCTTGTATTTTTTAATAAATAACAACCAAAAAATACCTTAAAAGCCAAAACATCGAGTACTCTAGCTATCGAGGCGCCTACATAAACACGTGAATTTAATACAGCTCCATAAGAACGCAAAAACTCGAGCAGACTTAAACCTTCTCCTCCATTAGCTCCTTTAATTTTTTATTAAAAATATTTTTAATTTAAATTTTACAACACCTTTTTTCTCCTCAATATGTTTATCAAACAATGCTATTTTTTGTTTTTCTTTTTTCTTAATTTCGTTAAATTCGTTAGAATATATTTTGCTATTGCAATTGTTTTTGTTGTAATAATGCCCGTTTTGGTGATTTTTTGATCTTCTAAATTTAATTTATTTTTTGTATGTATTTTTGGTATTTTGAAAATTTAGGAAGGCTAAGAAGTTAGATTTCCTTTCTCAAAATCCTCTTAATCCCATCATATCACTCTTAATCCCTCTATATCCCTTAGAATCTCCCTATATCCCTCTTAATCCGATGATAACACTCTTAATCCCTCTATATTCCTCTTAATCCCTCTATATCACTCTTAATCCTATGATAACACTCTTAATCTCTCTATATTCCTCTTAATCCCTCTATATCACTCTTAATCCCATGACATCACGCTTAATCCAACTATATCCTCTTAATCCTCACAGATCCCCGGTATACATACCACTAAATCCTCTAAACCCCACGATATCATCACAAATCCTCTTATCCCTCTTAGGTCCCCATCTTAGTCCTCCTTCTTAGCCTCATTCACCTTAATTCTCCCTGATCCCACGTTATCTTCCTCAAAATCCCCTCAAGCCCTCCTAATCCACAAATACCCTCCTAATCACTCTAATCCATCTATATCCCTTCACTGGAACTAAGTCTTTGTATATACAAGGGGTACTGAACTATAGGCTGAAGCACTTCCAGGCTTAACGCCAACAATTTTAAATAGGATATGTAGCAACCCGACCCCCGAGACCCCGACATGCCTTCCCCAACAAACCCCGATCCCCGACACACCCGCCCCGAAGGGGGGGGGGGTGTCGGCCCTAATTTTAAATATTTAATTACTTTTTATCCTTTTTACTTCCACCCTCAGGAAAGAAAAACAACATTAAAGAAGGTCCAATCATAACCACACCAATAAACAAAAATCCCAGCCACCAAGCACCAATCCAAGTTGGGTCTTGTGGAGATAGCCCTCTCGGGGCGCTCGCAGGGAATGTGTAATATAATTTATTGACAATAGCACCAATCACAAAGCCACAAATTGGGCCAAGAATTTTGAAGAAATTTATCATTGCTGTAAAAATAATGATTAATAATTGGGCTGTATTCAGTTAACAGGGATTGGGCTGTATTCAGTTCCGTTTTTACCTCCCCAAGCAGAAATGTCGGGGAATTTTCAGAAGGTCAAGTGTCAGAAATCCTCACTTTTATAATAAAATTAAGAAAAATGGGCAATCCTAAATCCGGATAACAAATCTGCCGGAATCGGATCCGGGTTTCACTAAAACCCGGACCGGATCTGGCCGGATTTTTCTAGATTTATCTGGTCTGGGAATAATTTGGTCTGGAATAATATTGTCTGGAAATAAGTCGGAGATAACAAAACCCCCTGATTTCGAAACCGGATTCCGGATTAATCATTTTTCACTCATACCACCCTGATCACACGTTTCCCTCACTAATACGTCAGCTCACTCCAGCCCCAGGAGTAGGGATGGGTCTGGTCCGAACGATCAAGTCGGAAAGATCAAGTCGGCAACTCGAAAAAGACTGTCGGGCCGGCTCGATAAAAATGAAGCTCTAAAAAGACTCGGCCCAACCCTACCCATGAGTGACGCATCATCGAGATTCACGATACTACACATTACGGTAGTTAGGGTAGGGTTATGGAGGTCAAAATCAATTTTAAAAATTTCCTAACCAAAGTAAATAGGCATTTGTTGTTTCTTTACATTATCGTCTACTAAAGGTATCCCTAAAGACCAAGGCATGGTCCTTCCAAATCCGAGAATTAACATAGCCCCAAAAATGACAAGCAAAGGCATTGTATTTGAATGATGGTTTGTGCATTTTAGTTCGCGCAAGGCTGTCCGGAAGTCGCCAATTAGACGATTGCATATTGCAAATGGGGCGATGGCGAGGGAACGGACTGCCTAGAAAAAATTTTTTGAAAATTTTTGAAATTTTTTTTTAAATTCCAAAAAATTTGGGCCCTGCTCTAGTTTATGCGTCCAATGAACTTTTATGCGTCCAATGAACTTTTATGCGTCCAATGAACTTTTATGCGTCCAATGAACTTTTATGCGTCCAATGAACTTTTATGCGTCCAATGAACTTTTATGCGTCCAATGAACTTTTATGCGTCCAATGAACTTTTATGCGTCCAATGAACTTTTATGCGTCCAATGAACTTTTATGCGTCCAATCAAACTATGCGTCCAATCATGAAAAATTAGATTTTTCCTTTGTGTTACAAAGTTGGGGGTTCCAAAACATTTCCTCATGTTCTGGATCTATGCCCACTTGGGCTGGGGCCGCTCGTACCCTATTCTTCGAAATTTCTGAAAGTTATAGCCAATTTTTAAAAATTTCAGAAAAACTATTTTAACTTTCAGAAAATTCGAGGGATAGGTACGGAACGGTCCCAGAGATCCAGAACATGAAGAAATGCTTTAGAAGCTGCCCCAACTTTGCAATAACAAGAAAAATCCATTTTTTGTTGGTTGGACGCATCAAAGTTCATTGGACGCATAACCTAGATAAGGGCCCGAATTTTTTTGAAATTTTTCGAAATTTTTTTTTATTTTCTAAGTACTTTAATATCCTCCTCAGCATACTTTTCTCGATTTGATACAAATTGTCTCATAGCCTTTTCTAATGCTATAGTTGCATTTCGTCTATCATTCTCGTTATTTGTAGCTATTAACATTTGTGATCTCCAAATGATCTTTAAAATTTAATTTATTCTCTCTCTCATACTATCAAATGACCGATTGCTCAGTCAAGTTTACGCCGATACGGCACCCGATTTTTAGATCGTCATCATAGACGAGTAACGGAACTTTAGTTTATTTTTTCGAAAAATAAAATGTAGAAGAGCTCGAAATGCGAAACGAAACGAAATTTCGCCAATGATCCTTTATCTATCCTTTACATCCTAATATTATTCTACATCAGGGTGGTCCTTTTGCCTCATTTGGGAGGCACTCCCTTTTGACCTTCTCGCCTCCTTTTCTCCGTTGCCCCTTTTTGAGAGCCCCCTTTAGGGGATTTGGAAAGGGACACCCTGTTCTACATATAACTATCATATAACCTTTATCAATTGCACGCCCTCGATTAATTCCCCCCCCCCCGGTCTCTGGCGAGATCTAACAAAAATAATTACTCTAAGGATTATTTAAGGAAATACGGTACTTCCTCTCTATTTTTATCAATGGGTATGAAAATATTTTTAAATTTACCTCCCCCATTAAAGGCTCATCCAAAGCGTAATCTCCTCCACTCTTTTTATTTTCCCCCGCATAGATTGGACGTTTTGGTAGTTCAACCATGCTTGTCTCATTGGAATAATTTCTATTTTCCATTGTAGCTAATATTAATGCTTCGCGTAAATAAGGGGATATTCTGTCTCTAATAGGTTCAAAGTCAAAAAATTCTTTCAAAGTTGATATGTTTGTAGTTAGAGGAGATGACTCTAACAAGCTGGCATTGGGCCTTAGCCTAACCTTAATTAAAATTATTTTTATGAAAATAAGTAAAACTGTGGACAGCTAAGGCTATGAACCAGGGAGTGTCTAAATATACAATGAGTGCAATGGAGTGTCTAACTAGAGTCAAATAGACAAAACACGAAAACGCGAAATTATAATAGAAAAGGCTAGGCAAACTTTGGACAGCTAAGGCTAGGAACCAGAGTCTAAATAGACAGGGAATGCCAGGGAGTGTCTGAATAGAGTCAAATAGACGAAAGACGAAATCGCATTAGAAAAATCGGGGCGAAACACGAAATTATAGTAGAAATAACGTGGCGAAACACGAAATTTAAATAAAAAATAGTGAGCGTAAGAGACGAAAATCACCAAAAGACGAAAGTTGAAAGCGAAATTATGTCAGATTTCGCGAAATTATGTGCCCCTCAGAAACGGCTTGCGGCTCAAGAAAAGGGGTGCCTGCCCATTTTTAACACATTTATGGGTCTACCAAGAGTGTGCCAGTTTCGCTTTTGCTTTACGCCTTCAACGAATTTCGTTTTTTTTTGTTTCGTCTTAATTAAATTTCGTGTTTCGCCTTTCGTCATGTTAAGCAGTATTTAACACACTTCTCTCCTTTTTACATAAATTATCCTATTATTAGTTTTTACCTCCATTTGTGTCAAGTTTAATTTTGCAGGATTGCTGCGGAATAAATAGTTGGAAGAGGCAGTCAATATGTGTGCTACTGCCATAACTATGGTGCCTTTAAGAAATTTTTTTTAATTTTTTTGAAAATTTTTTTGAAAATTTTTTTGAAAATTTTTTGAAAATTTTTGAAAAATTTTTTGAAAATTTTTGAAAATTTTTTGAATTTTTTGAAATTTTTTTGAAAATTTTTGAAAAATTTTTTGAAAATTTTTGAAAAATTTTTTGAAAATTTTTTGAATTTTTTGAAATTTTTTTGAAAATTTTTAAAAAATTTTTGAAAATTTTTGAAAAATTTTTTGAAAATTTTTTGAATTTTTTGAAATTTTTTTGAAAATTTTTGAAAAATTTTTTTGAAATTTTTTGAAAAATTTTTTGAAAATTTTTGAAAAATTTTTTGAAAATTTTTTAATTTTTATTTACCTATTCCTATCCATTTAGCTCTATTTCCTTTAAATTTAAAGATTAATTTTGAATTTAAATTACGGTATTACCCCTAGAACCGTAGTAAGAGACCAATACCACTGTTAATACATAGGAGATGTCATCTAGAAATTATTTAGATTACTGTAACTGATTAAAATATATTGGACCTCATTATAAGACACCCCATTATAAGGTGCCCCCTTAGGGCTGAAAATTTCCGTTTTATAATTAGAAGGGTATCGCTTAGGCAAACCTCCACATGTGTTTCGCCGGAACCGCAAATTTGGCCCGGAACCGGAACCGGATCTATCTTTTGGTTTCGGGTCGGAACCGGAACCAAAAAATCCCGGAACTTCTGGCCTACCGGAACCGGAACTTCCGGTGAAACACTACACTCCACCCAATGGCCAGTATTTTTAAAACGTCTCTTAAATAGAGCTGCGTCTTGTATTGGGGGTATCTTATAATGAGGTCTGTCTCTGATTTTTAGATATTTTACGTGCAGAGACGAGTAGACCCGACAATTTTGAAGGAATTCTGAAATGCCTTTCGATGTTCTGTACTGCCGTTACCATATAACTAAAATATTAACTTTTAATTATTGGGCATTTTGAAATTTTGGGATTTTGAAATTTAGGGCATTTTGAAAATTTGACATTTTTAATAGCTAATATTTTGAAAAGTTGACATTGCAAAAATTTGACATTTTTGAAAGTTGACATTTTGAAATTTTAACATTTTGAGAATTTAACATTTTGAGATTTTGACATTTTGAAATTTTGACATTTTGAAATTTCGACATTATGACATTTCGACATTATGAAATTTTTGACATTTTGACATTGCGAAATTTTAAGATTTTGAGATTTTGACATTTTGAAATATTTTTTAAAAATTTTTCAAAATTTAACTAACGTTCCGCCTATAGCCTCAAGAAAATATACAATTGTGAAAATAGCTAGGAATACATAAATTCTTTGAATCTCCACCATAATTAAATAATTTAAGGGTTAAAATAAATTAAATTAAATATTTTTAATTATGAAATTCCATCTTTATTTTTAAAAAATAAATAAATTTTAGTTTAATAAAATAAAAATACAGTTAAAAAAAATAATTTTAATAATCATCCAACAGTTGTTTTTGTTGAATGGTGAAGGGGGGGATTTTTATTAAATATTTATTCACCTTTTTCGCACACATTACTACGGGGGACAGTTAATATTTATATGAATGGATTAAATATGAAAATTATTTTTAATTTTTTTTGATATAAGGGGGAATGTACCCTGATTATTTTTTAAAATTAAATATTATGTCATTGAAAAGTAGGTATATGTAGTTGTAGGTGGGTTGGAGACCCGATCCGGCCCGGTCCGAAGGATAAAGTCGGACATCGAATTTTGGCCCGAAAAAGACTCGGCCGGACCGAGTCGGAAACCCCAACCCTAGTTGTGTGCCAAGTTTTGGGTAATAGACACAAGCTCCGGCTCCAGCTTCGGGACTAGAGATGGAGCTGGAGCTTTTTGAAAAAGGCTGGAGCCGACAAATGCCCAAAACACAGCACTGATAGACACATTTTCTTATTTTTTAAAGGATGTATCGAGAAATCTGGCCAGTTTAAAAAAAGTCTTAAAGAGAGAAAGCGGGTCGGTTTCTGATCTGGTTTCGAAAACTTCTCGAAATGGATTTATACTTTCAGGTCAGAGAAAGTCCAAGTATATGGTAACCCATCATATCCTTGATGAGAGGCTTCATTTCGCCGCAAGCGTTGGGTCGAGTTGTTTCGAACCAGAAAAAAAATTCAAAAAGGAGAACTCGAAAATATCCCCAAAAAGTCGAAACCGAAATTTCGAAACAACTCTAACCCGAACTCGCGCGGTGGAGATCAGGGATCCCGGTGAAATATAAAATAAATTCACGTCCCGAGTTTGGGAAATCGGAATGGAAGGAACTCTGGTGTACACTATGGTTGTTCCCCGACGGGGAGGAGGGCCACGGGGATAACTTTTCGGGGAGGGATGGGGAATTTTAAAAAAAATCTCTTAAATTCCCCGACTTTCAGGAAAGTGGAACAAGTCTGGCGTACACGTCCAAGACTGGCCTATTTTCGATTATAGTCATAAAATTTAAAGAAAAATAGAAACAAAATTTTTAAACTATGTTTATAATGATTTTTAAAATGTTTAAACTTGTTTACGTTAAGATGTTAAAAATGTTTAAACCTAACCGAATTTTATATTAAAAATTATTATTTAATAAAAAATTAGAGGGAAGGGAAGTGTTCACATGATTAATAAAAAACCCGTTTTTTCTAATAAAAAACGGGATATATAAATTTAATAAAGATTATAATAATCCCTTTATTTTTGACAAAATTTTAATAAAAAAATTTTTTGTGGTCTTTGATGGTCGCGGGGGATTAAAATTTAATTCAGAACGTTCACAGGAGGGATGTCACGGGTTGAAAAAAAGTCTGGTCGGAGTTTCAGAATTTTTTTGGATCAGGTTTCAGGTCGAAAAAGAACCGGGTTTAGGATAGGAGGTTTCAAGTAGCCCTTGACATCCCTGATTCACAAAGGGAGATATCTAGACTATCGGTATCGGTATCGATAAGGTCAATAATTTCCATTGATATATTGTATTGATCCAGTCTCTAGTCTAGACCAGAGCTGCGTCGAAACAAAAGAATCTTCGAAAATCGGAAATCGAAATTGACTGATTACTATATCTGTGGGGAAATAAAGTGAACTTGAGTGAGGAGAAAAATTTGACCATTAATGAAATTTTAATAAAGAATGAGTGAAATTCTCTTTCCGGATCCGGAAACCGGATTTTAAATTTCGCGCAACTGGATCCAGCCTGTTTTTTCCTCTAGCAATCCTGTCAGGTTTACTCCGTAAATATCGAACCTACCCCCCTACAGATTTGGGACTCGAACGCCGTAAAAATTCTTAGGCCACTAATTACTAGAAAACATTGGGTTCATAATGGTCAGACCCACATTTTTTCCTAATAATTTTTGATTGAAAATATGTTAGAGACATAAAGGGAATTTTTGGGAATAATAAAAATAAATTGAGCATTAACATAAAATTAAAAAAAAAGCCTCGTTTGCACGACACCTCTCTAAAAAATTTTTTTTAATTTTTTTAAAAAAATTTTAACAATAAACGCTTATACAATAAGGAGAATGGAGGAATGAATAAAATGAAGAAAAATAAATTCCCCCACACTCCTTTTACTTCCGCTTCGTTTGTTTTTGATCTAGCGACAATTTATTTTAATGTATCGATGTCCGCGCGTTTAGCGAATACTTGGAGGAAATCGATGGAATAAATTTTAGTTTAATAATGCTTTATCTAATAGTCAGATCTTGCTTATACGACACCTCTCGTAGAGGAAAAATCTGACGTTAAAGTGAGTATCATATAACTGAGGTGTCATGGAAGGGATGGTGATGGGCTGGGATGGATAGGATGGCCGGGTTGGGAAAGAAGTCGGGTCAGGTTTAGGAAAAATTTTCAACGGATCGGGTTTCAGGTATAAGGTTGAAAAAAGTCAGGGTTTCGGGTTGGGTTTCGAGTAACCCGCCCATCCCTCGTACGAATACAAATGTTGTAAAACTGAGTGTCGTAAACTGAGTGTCGTATAAGTAAGAACCATCCAACAGCCCAGTTAACATTTTTATCACTAATCTAATGTCATTGTGTTAGAGGTACCTTTAGGTACACACTAAAAGTACTGACCGGAAGGTGACCAACCTCCCAAATCACTTTTCTCCCAAATCTCTTTTCCTCCAATTCAGCCCAATACAGTCCCCGATTTGACTCTCAACCGTACGTCATTTTCCTTCTAACGTAGATAAAATTCTGAAGGAGTTCCTACTCCATTTCCACGTCTCCCAAATCCAATCCTCTAGCCGCTTCTTTCCGTTGAAACGCCAGCAAAGCCTGCGCCATAGGGTAAGATTAAGAGTTTACTGAACTAGAGACCGGCGCGGTCCCGCGCGGGATTTTTCGGGGTCCCGCTCCCGCAATCCCGCACTTTTTTCGATTTGCGGGATTTTGCTGGATGCGGGATTTATCCCGCGGGATCCCGTCCCGCAAAGATTTAAAAAAATCCCGCATGCGGGATCCCGCAAACACGATTTTGCCGGTCTCTAAACTGAACATATGATTAAATAAATTAAAAGAACAAATAAAATAAAAAAAATTTTTGTTGATCTATTCAATTTGTTTCATTTTTATTAAAAAAGTGAAACTAAAAATTAAAAAAAAATTTTCTTTTCCCTCTAAAATAAATCAAAAACCGGTCTTTAAATTTATGGGGAAAGACATTTTTGGTTTTGTTTATTTTTTCTGCTAAAATTTAAAATAAGGAAGGAGACTGGAGGGTTGTTTTGATGATTATTTGGCGAAAGCCCGATTAATTATTTTGAGGGTATTACTGTATTTTTAAACAGAATTTGGGGAAATTAGGGGGAAATTAAGGGGGAAATTAATTAATTTTTTTTTGTTTTTTATAAATTGTTGATTAATTTGAAGAAAGTGTAGTCTGTGCTTATTTTTAGAATTTAATTGGCTGAAGTATAGACTTGTTATTTTTTATGGGCATGAGTATTTTCCTTTTATGGGCCGAACGATCTTTTATTACTAATAGGCGAAAAAGGGGTGTTTTTCTTATAATAGAGACCATTATGAGCATCTTAAGTTCGGCTCAGAGACCGAGGGCTAATTTCGGTGTCATCCGACTCATCTCGACATGTTCCTTCGAGTTGCATAAATTTTGTTCATATTCATGATGGGGGGGGGGGGGGGGGGGGGTGTCGGTTACACCAATTTCTTAGGGTAACCAAGCCGAAAATCTTCGGGTTTTCGGTTCGGTTAAAACCCTAGACACTTTAAAATATTTTTATGTGCGGCACGATAACTGAAAAGTACCTAAAGGAGTAATAATTCAGAAATTTTCAGGATACATATTTGAAACTTCAGTGTCAGCCAGAAGGAATATCCAGTTAGAAAAAAATCAGAGGGGGTTCGGATTTTGTTTCGAACAAAAGTCCGGGTATCGACCTTCGGATCGTATTTCGGATACCCCGGTCCATTCCTCTCCATTCCTGGCCAGTACCCCTCCTATCCTAAAGCTTTATTTTTACTCTAAAAGGTGTCACCTTTCACTCCGAAAGTACGCGAGATTAAAAATGAGGAAATGATTAATATTTTTTAAAATTGAAAAAGGTGAAAGGAGGGGGGGGGGGGGGAAGGAAAGAGAGAACGGCCTCACAAAAATGAAAATGAGTTCTCTTTACTATTGTATGTATTATTCGTGTATTATTCGCCCGCCTTGTTTTAATTATTATTTCCGTCTCCCCCCACCCCCCACCCCCCCCCCCACACAAACAAAATATAAAAATTCCCCCAACAAGTACTTAGTCTTTTTGTTAAATTCGCTTAATTTGTTAACGTCATAAATACAAATCGCCAAAAAATACACACATTTTGTGTTAAAAATCGTTAAAATTTGTGTGAGAGAAAAGTCTGTTGAAAAATTGAGGGGAAAAGAGATTAAAATAATAGTCCAATTAAACTTTCCACCTATAATGAGATTTGGATGTTTTGGCGCATGCAAGTTTTGGCGCGCGCTTCAAAATTGATACTTATTTGTTAGGCGAAATCTAAATTCATGAGATGCATCTGATATGTATAAACTTCTTTTCAGGAAAATTTTTTCCTTTTCCGGAAAAAAATTTTTTCCGGAAAAAATTTCCGGAAACCTAATGGTTTAGGGATGTTTTGGCGACTGGACGTTTTGGCGCGCGCTTCAATATTGACCTTTGGGAGAAACCAAAATTTTCAAAAATTTTCTCAAAATTTTTTAACCTTCTTGGCCAACTCCTCCAAAAATTTCAAAATTTTTCATCAAATATTTTTGGAGTTATAGTCGATAAACCTCCAAAAATTAGGCTTTTTTGGGTAGTAAATTGACATTTCTGGTCATAATTTCTGAAATTCTGGTCCAAAAATTCTGAAATTTTCTGAGTACTTAGATAAATATATGAGGGTTATTATAGCAAAATTTTATCCTTCCAGATAATCACCAGACTATTTTATATGCCCTCGCGCCAGAACAAACCCGCGCCAAAACGTTTGGGCTAGTTTAATAGGGTTGAGTTTATCCGTATTTTTTTCAGAAAAAGTTTTTAATTGATCAGAATAAATTTTAAAAAATCAGAAAAGCGGAAATAAACACAATTTTAAAGGAAAGCGCTTTAATATATGAAAAAATATATATTGTGCAAATAATAATAAAACAAAGATATTGTCACGTTGATAAATTTAATTTAATTTAAAAAAATAAAATTTGCGGACAACCATTAAATTAAGTCTGCTAACAGTTAAACCTCATTATAAGAAACATTCATTCAGTATTTAATTCCCCCTCAATTTAAGAAAAATTTTTTTGAGTTCCCTGGCCAAGGAGTGGGGGGAGCAGCTTACAATCAATCAGAATAAGTCAAAATTAAAATCAAAATAATTTCAAAAAAATCAGAATTTCAGAACAGAATAGGCCAGAATTAAAATCAGAATATCTTCAAAAAAATCAGAATTTATTTAAAAAAATCAGAATTTATTTTAAAAAAATCAGAATTTCAAATCAGAATTTATTCAAAAATCAGGATAAAAATCAGAATAGGTCAGAATTAAAACCAGAATTAATTTAAAAAATCATAACTTATAAAAAATCAGAATTTTAGTTTTGTCCGCAATTGTTGTCCGCAAAAATTTAAAAAGCGTCAAATAAAATAAAAGACAAAAATATTACACACACACAAAAAAATATATACCCCTCTTAAACATTTTTTAAAAAATTTTTTAATTATTTTCCTGATTATTTAAAGTTGTAGGGGGTGAATTTACTCTTCCCCCACCTCCTCCTCCTTCCATTGTTAATCCTCCCCCACCATTTGCTGAAGAAATTGAATTCGAAGAAATTTGTTGCTGTTGGAGTGAAGGCAATGTAGAAACAAAGTCAATAGGGGCAAATTGACGAAGAATTTGGTTTTCGTTTTCGAGGAAATTTACCTAGAAAGAGGGGGAAAAATTTTTTTGAAAAAATTTGAAAATTTTCTGAATTTTTTTTAAAAATTTTTTCGAAAAATATTTCAAAATTTTTGAAAACTCAAAAAATTTTTCAAAAATTTTTTGAGTTTTCAAAAAAAAAAATTTTTTTTTTGAAAATTTCTTTGAAAAAAATTTTTTCAGAATAAATCGGAATTAATTTTAGAAAATTTTTTAAATTTGAAAAAAATTTGAAAAATTTTTTAAAAAATATTTTAAGAAAAATTTTTTGAAATTTCCCAAAAATTAATAAAAAATTTTTCAAAAATTTTGGGAATTTTTTTTTAAATTTTTTTGAAAGATTTTTTGAAAAATTTCTTTAATAAATTTTTTTTGGGTTTGAAAAAATTTCAAACATTTTTTTTAAAAATTTTTAGAAATTTTTTTTCTGAAAATTTCTAAAAAATTTTTGGTCCAAAAAAATTTTTTTTTCAAAAATTCTCCCCTCCCCAAAAAAACCTTATTTTCCAAATCCATAATTGTTGAACGCAAAATTTCCACTTCTTCTCGAACAGCAAAAGTCAAATGAGTTTTTACAAGGTCCTCAAAAAATATTTTTTTTAAATAAAATTAAATAAAAACCATTGCTTGTTCAATTTTATTGTCTATAGCAACAGCATTAGGTCCACCAGTTGTAACTGCAGCAGAAATTGAAGCGGTGCTGCTATTTTGAGCTAGACTACTATAAAAATTAAAAATCAGAATTTTTATTAAAATCAGAATAAAAATCAGAATAGGTCAGAATTAACAGAAATGATTCAAAAATCAGAAAATCAGAATTCTTACAAAAAATCAGAATCAACCAGAATTCCAATTCAGAATATACCAGAACCACAAGAATCAGAATTTCAAAATCAGAATTAAAATCAGATTACCAGAATAAAAACCAGAATTCATCCAAAAATCAGAGTATATCAGAAATGATTCCAAAAATCAGAATTTAAAATCAGAAGTCATTAGTAAAAAATCAGAATTCAATCAGAATTAAAACCAGAATTTTTCAAAAAATCAGAATTAGAATCAGAATTAATCCGAAAAATCAGAACACAATCCAGAATAGATCGGAATTAAGATCAGAATTAACTCAGAAAATCAGAATTCATGATAAAAAATCAGAATCAACCAGAATTCCAATTCACGATGTAACATAACCAAAATCAGAATTCGCTCAAAAAAATCAGAATTTCAAAATCAGAACAAAAAAAACTTCAAAAAATAATTTCCAAACCCATCAGCAGGCGGAACAAATTCACTTCCCAAAGTAGCCGGGACTGAATGACTAGGAGAAATGTCGAACTGTGATAATTGTTGTTGTGGTGGTGGGTTGGTTGTAGTCGCAGTGTTTGGTAATATTGTTGTCGAGCCCTTTAAAAAAATTTTTTTTGAAATTATTTTTATTCAAAAATGATTAGTCCGCAATTTGTGTCCGCAAATAAAGTCCGCAAATTTATTTTTGCTAAAAATTTATTTGTACTAAAAATTTTTAGCAAAAATAAATTTGCGGACTTTATTTGCGGACACAAATTGCGGACAATCAAAGATTTGCGGACATTCAAAATTTACATGCATTTTAAGTTACATGCCTGCAATTTTTGAATATCCGCAAAAAAAGTCCGCAAATTTATTTTTCTAAAATTGTCCACAATTTTTTGACTGTCCGCATTTTTCTGATTGTCCGCTAAAAATTGTCCGCAAATTTCAGAATTTGGTTAGTTTCTTTTTTTAAAAAGTCTAACGGACATAAATCCCCAAAAATATTCTATAATTCAAATAAACCTGATGTACAATGCCAGGCTGTGGCGCTGGCGTAGTTTCACGTTGTTCAACAGCAACCACGGGGTTTTGAATATTTTGGTGTTGAGCTAAAATTAATATTAATTTTATGAGGAAATTTATTCGTAAAATTGTCCTCGAGTTTAAAAAAGTCCAGAAAAAGTTTTTATAATGTCCGGAAATCTTAATTTTTTGCAAAAATAAAAATTAATTTTGCAAAAAACTCACTTATTTTTAGATCCATCGGTGGTTATCCATTCAAACTTGTCGGATTAAAAAAAACTCGGTCATGTTTCGGGTCAAAAGTCCGGGTTTATGGTAACCCATCCCAAGCGAACCCTTTATTATCACCTCCCCTCTCTAAAATCGAAACCTGAATACGTTGATGGTTTCAATCAACAAAAATTTTTTGCTAGTGTTGGTCCTCAACCTCACCCAATTATGATCGCTTATGCCATCCTCAAATCCCAGGCGAAAATTTTTAAAAATTTGGAAAGCCTTAGGCGAAAAAATTCATTTTTTCGCACAATCCCCTCCCCAAATTTTTCCCGTTCGGGAAAGTGGGGGAATTCCCCGATGGCTACGAGCCTGTCCAACCCCAATCCCTAAAAATGTTCTCCCCGACGGACCGGGAAAGGAACCTAATTTCCACCAGAAAAATTATTAAAAACCTCCAATTTGTTGCTGTCCAGCTCCAACTCCCTCCCCAACATGAACATTTGTTTGAGTCGCCAACGGAGTTTGGGAGGCAGAAGATTTATCAAATTCAATTGTTTGGTTGTCCCCTCCAATAGAAAAACTGACAGGTCCAGTACCGGCCGAGGCGCCGTCTTTATAGTCAATACATTCCCAACGTCCACGAGTAAACACTGCTGGGACTGGTACAACCTTGAAAAATTGAAAAAAAAAATTTTGAAGGGAAAAAAGTGGAAAGAAGGACGTCAAGGCTGGAACGGGCCGGGTTAATCAAAAAACAGTACTTGTGCAGTTTCCCTCCCATAAATCGAATTTCGGGTCGAAAAAATGTCCGTGTTGTGGGCAGTCCGACCTCAACCTTGTTGTACCAAGGGAAAATAATGTGTAGAGAAAAGGGTTTTCGATTCTTAGAAAATCCTTGGGTATCCGGCTACAAGCGAAAACCCCGAAACAAAAATAATTTGCCCGATACCCGAACTGACACCCCTGACTTGGGTCAGATGTTATACATTGACAGATGGGCTGGCACAAGAAAAAAAGTTCGGGTTGGCTTCATAGTAGTTTCCAAAAATTTATTCGAATTGAAAAAAAAAAGTCCCATGAACCAGAAAATCCTTTTTTAATTTAAAAAAACCTGAAATTGACGCTCTTTGGGTTTAGCAACAGCAACATTCATTTTTAATGAATTTTGTTGAAAATTTAATTTTTTAAAGAAAAATTTGGAAAAGTCTAAAATCGAAAAAAATTTTAGAAAAATTTTTTAAAAATAAATAAATGAAATAAAAACATTTTTTAGACAAAAGAAAATCAATTTAAGGTAATGTTTTTATTAAAAAAAATTTTTATCACAACAAAAAAATAAAATTATAAAAATGAAGGGGTTGTTGATTCTCTTCTACTACTTGCTGAAGAAGTTTGAAATGAAGGCAATGTTGAAATAAAGTCAATAGGGGCAAATTGGCGAAGAAGTTGGTTTTCGTTTTCGAGGAAATTTACCTAAAGGGAACGAAAATTTTTGAAAAAACGGAACTTGAGCAGTTTCCCTCCCATAAGCCCCTCCCATTTTCCTTCCCTTCCTCTTATAAAATGACTATTTGGGTCAACATTGTAAATAGCAAGGGCGTATCCAGGGGGTCGGTTTCGAAGGGGGGGCTAACACTGGGTGGGCGCAAAAATTTTTGGCGTTTGCCTTGGCGTTCCGGACGCAAATTTTTTTGTACATAAATTTTCATCTTTTCAGCGCCGAAGGCGAAAATTTTTTGGAATTTGGAGCCCAAGAAGCCAGATTTCTTCTTTTTTTAGCGCCGCAGGCGAAAATTTTGAGGATTTTGGAGCTCAAGAAGCCAGATTTCTTCCATTTTTTGCGCCGCAGGCGAAAATTTTTTTAAATTTGAGGGTTGTAGGCGAAAAAATTTCACTTTTTCGATCATCCTTCTCCTAATTTTTTCCCCCTTTCCCCCATTTCGGGGGGGGGGGGGCTCTAGCCTCCCCCCAGCCCCCCACTGGATACGCCCTTGGTAAATAGATAATATCAAAATATTAATTCAAATGAGTAGCATTGCAAGGAAAGATAGGAAAAATGGGCGGGGCTTATGGGAGGGAAACTACACAAATAGTCAAAAATCGCTCAGAAAACTTTAAAAAAACGTTTTTTTAATTTTTTTCAAGAATCTTTTAGATTCTAAGTAAACGAAATCAAAACCTTATTCTCCAAATCCATAATTGTTGAACGTAAAATCTCCACTTCTTCTCGAACAGCAAAAGTCAAATGAGTTTTTACAAGGTCCTAAAAAAATTCAAAAATATTTTCAAAAAATAAAATTAAATAAAAACCATTGCTTGTTCAATTTTATTGTCGATAGCCACTACACTAGGTCCACAAGTTGTAACTGAATCAGAGACTGAAGTGGCACATACATTAAAACAATACTGTTCAATACACTCCCATCTTCCTCTAATAAATAATGAAGGGACTGGAACTACCTTTGGGGTCGCTTTAGTATAACTACACCGAGATCGAAACTTGAAGTATATACCATTCGATTCGTCTCACCGAGCTGAGTTCAAATATGCAAGAATTTTCTGCGGGAGACGAAAACTCGCAGAGATACAGGCCCCCGAAAATCGAAAAACCATAGGGGGGACCAAGCTGATTTTTGGGGTAAAAAATTCGAATATGCAAATTATACCTCATTCGAAAGAGCTCGTCGAGCTGAGTCGAATGACACCAAAATCAACGAAATCCGTCTTGATTGGACCGAGATATAGGCCCCTAAATATCGAAGATCCAAAGGGGTGATTTTTGGAATTAAAAATTTTTTTATACAAATAATAACTCATTCGAAAGAGCTCGACGAGTTGAGTCGAATGACACCAAAATCACCGTGATTGAATAAGATTAGACAAAGTTACGACACAAAAAACAAGCAACGTAAACCTATGGAGAGTCGGCGAGGCGCTTGTGCAAACCCCCGCGCTTCGCGCGGGGGTTTGCGGCACGCGCCTCGCGGGGAGTCTACGGGCGGTGGGTCTGGGCTCGTAACGTAAACCTATTCCTATCTCCCTTGCTCTGGGCATACCTGGAGCCTCCGTAGTAGCAAAACCCTCCATAGAGACCATAGGTAAGGAGCTAAAACAAACGATCATAACTTTGTCAAATCTAGTCGGATTTCGTTGATTTTGGTGTCATTCGACTCAGCTCGACGAGCTCTTTCGAATGAGGTATAATTTGCATATTCGAATTTTTTACCCCAAAAATCAGCTTGGTCCCCCCTATGGTTTTTCGATTTTCGGGGGCCTGTATCTCTGCGAGTTTTCGTCTCCCGCAGAAAATTCTTGCATATTTGAACTCAGCTCGGTGAGACGAATCGAATGGTATATACTTCAAGTTTCGATCTCGGTGTAGTTATACTAAAGAACAGCCCTACCTTTAAATTGAAAACTTAGAAAATTAAAAGATATTTGGGGAAAATAGGGCCCTCGATTTATGACAAAATTTGCCAAAAATTAAATCCGCGTCCAGAAAACACGGATGTTATGTAGTAGTATCTCTACCAAGGGCGTAGCTAGGGGGTCGATTTCAGGGGGGGCTAAAATTGGGGGGGGGGGGGCTAAAATTGGGACTCAACTGAGCTGTACCCAAAAATCATCCTAGGAAAGTGACCCCCTCCACGAGTTATAGGTTACTCAATTCAGATAAACCGTCAGAAAAATCTTAAAAAACTAAAAGAAACCTGAAATTGTTTTTCTTTCCTTCCAACGAGATTCATCGAAAAAGGAACAGATTAGAAGAATGAAGGAACAGAAAATTAATAAATTAACTAAATGATAATCAAGATTAAATAAGAATTTTAATATAAATATATTAGAAGAATGAAGGAACAGAAAATAAATAAATTAACTAAATGATAATCAAGATTAAATAAGAATTTTAATATAAAAATATTAGAAGAATGAAGGAACAGAAAATAAATAAATTAACTAAATGATAATCAAGATTAAATAAGAATTTTAATATAAAAATATTAGAAGAATGAAGGAACAGAAAATAAATAAATTAACTAAATGATAATCAAGATTAAATAAGAATTTTAATATAAAAATATTAGAGGAATGAAGGAACAGAAAATAAATAAATTAACTAAATGATAATCAAGATTAAATAAGAATTTTAATATAAAAATATTAGAAGAATGAAGGAACAGAAAATAAATAAATTAACTAAATGATAATCAAGATTAAATAAGAATTTTAATATAAAAATATTAGAGGAATGAAGGAACAGAAAATAAATAAATTAACTAAATGATAATCAAGATTAAATAAGAATTTTAATATAAAAATATTAGAAGAATGAAGGAACAGAAAATAAATAAATTAACTAAATGATAATCAAGATTAAATAAGAATTTTAATATAAAAATATTAGAAGAATGAAGGAACAGAAAATAAATAAATTAACTAAATGATAATCAAGATTAAATAAGAATTTTAATATAAAAATATTAGAGGAATGAAGGAACAGAAAATAAATAAATTAACTAAATGATAATCAAGATTAAATAAGAATTTTAATATAAAAATATTAGAAGAATGAAGGAACAGAAAATAAATAAATTAACTAAATGATAATCAAGATTAAATAAGAATTTTAATATAAAAATATTAGAGGAATGAAGGAACAGAAAATAAATAAATTAACTAAATGATAATCAAGATTAAATAAGAATTTTAATATAAAAATATTAGAAGAATGAAGGAACAGAAAATAAATAAATTAACTAAATGATAATCAAGATTAAATAAGAATTTTAATATAAAAATATTAGAGGAATGAAGGAACAGAAAATAAATAAATTAACTAAATGATAATCAAGATTAAATAAGAATTTTAATATAAAAATATTAGAAGAATGAAGGAACAGAAAATAAATAAATTAACTAAATGATAATCAAGATTAAATAAGAATTTTAATATAAAAATATTAGAAGAATGAAGGAACAGAAAATAAATAAATTAACTAAATGATAATCAAGATTAAATAAGAATTTTAATATAAAAATATTAGAGGAATGAAGGAACAGAAAATAAATAAATTAACTAAATGATAATCAAGATTAAATAAGAATTTTAATATAAAAATATTAGAAGAATGAAGGAACAGAAAATAAATAAATTAACTAAATGATAATCAAGATTAAATAAGAATTTTAATATAAAAATATTAGAGGAATGAAGGAACAGAAAATAAATAAATTAACTAAATGATAATCAAGATTAAATAAGAATTTTAATATAAAAATATTAGAAGAATGAAGGAACAGAAAATAAATAAATTAACTAAATGATAATCAAGATTAAATAAGAATTTTAATATAAAAATATTAGAAGAATGAAGGAACAGAAAATAAATAAATTAACTAAATGATAATCAAGATTAAATAAGAATTTTAATATAAAAATATTAGAGGAATGAAGGAACAGAAAATAAATAAATTAACTAAATGATAATCAAGATTAAATAAGAATTTTAATATAAAAATATTAGAAGAATGAAGGAACAGAAAATAAATAAATTAACTAAATGATAATCAAGATTAAATAAGAATTTTAATATAAAAATATTAGAGGAATGAAGGAACAGAAAATAAATAAATTAACTAAATGATAATCAAGATTAAATAAGAATTTTAATATAAAAATATTAGAAGAATGAAGGAACAGAAAATAAATAAATTAACTAAATGATAATCAAGATTAAATAAGAATTTTAATATAAAAATATTAGAGGAATGAAGGAACAGAAAATAAATAAATTAACTAAATGATAATCAAGATTAAATAAGAATTTTAATATAAAAATATTAGAAGAATGAAGGAACAGAAAATAAATAAATTAACTAAATGATAATCAAGATTAAATAAGAATTTTAATATAAAAATATTAGAAGAATGAAGGAACAGAAAATAAATAAATTAACTAAATGATAATCAAGATTAAATAAGAATTTTAATATAAAAATATTAGAGGAATGAAGGAACAGAAAATAAATAAATTAACTAAATGATAATCAAGATTAAATAAGAATTTTAATATAAAAATATTAGAAGAATGAAGGAACAGAAAATAAATAAATTAACTAAATGATAATCAAGATTAAATAAGAATTTTAATATAAAAATATTAGAGGAATGAAGGAACAGAAAATAAATAAATTAACTAAATG